GAAATTACTATCAATTTTTTAGGGTTGTAGTTTAGGTTAGAATAATTATGAATAACTGAGTCAATAGTTAATTTGTGTTAATATATAGATAATGAATCGAAGTTGGATGAATGCACGTCGCATTAGTCAAGAGTACAGAAATGGAGTTGAAGAGTTCTTGCAATTTGCAAGAGAAAATGGAAAACCCATCAAAGGGGCATATTATTGTCTATGTGTTTGTTGTTTGAATCAGATACGTCAGGAAGTTGGAGAAATACGTGATCACCTATATATTATTTAAGTAAAAATTTCACCAAAATCGTATAATTATGATACTAAAAAGATAAAAATTGCTCATTAAAATTTGGGTGACAAAAATTGCACAACGTGAATACAAGAGTCAAGAAGGACTAAAATAGCTCAATCAAAATCTTAAGGGATCAAAATTGTACAATTACAATACTTAAGAGATAAAAAAAACACAATTGAGTAAAAATATTATTAATTAAATAAATTATTTGTTTAAGATATAGATTTAATTGAATAATCATCTATCTAAACTATATCCAAAAATAGAAATATATGAATATTATTAAATTTAAATCAGGTTGAATTTAAAACATTTTGATTTGATTCGATTCGATCAACTTTAATTTGATTAGATTAGTTTAGTCTCTAATGCATACCAATCTGATTCAATCGTTTTTAGTTTAGATTTGATGAGTTTATTGAATTTACCACAAAAAAAAAAGGATCAAAATTTGATAATTTGTAAAATATATTATTATTGCATTGACTAACATCAACCCCTATATATTAAACATGAATCTATATCTTGTGTGAGAGTATTTTTAGGCATTTTTCTTCGACGAGAGGGATTGTAAGTATTTTTTTGAACTTATTTATTTAATTCAATTTTTATTTACAGAATTTTTATTAATTAAATATTAATACTTTAAATTAAATTATCAATCAATAAAAATAATTTTTTTAAATAAAAAGTATTTATCATAATTCTAAAATAGAATTTATATGTTTAAAAATATTTATGTATAATAATTTTAAGTATAATTTATACATTATATTTAATTTATGGATTGTACAAATGAAAATACTAATTTAATATTATAAACTTATTTGTGAACATCATAAAAATACATTTTTTTTTATACCATAAAGTACTCCTTTTTTCTACTAAGCTTGGAAATTATTTATTTTAGATATCCATATGATTGAGTCCTTTGATATCTAAAATAGTATAAAATACTTTGAATTATTGTTATTTAACTTTGGAACCGTGTCCAGATTGTTATGTCTTTTGTGGAGATCAAAACTTACCTGACAAGAAATTTTGCTATTTTAGAATTCTGTCATTCACTGAGGCTTTAATCATTGGCTCTCCTCTCATCAGAAACTTAAAACGTTAAAAATGATAAATATAAAAAATGCAAAAATAAATAAATAATGGGTTTGGATTTTTTTATTTGATATTGAATGAATGACCCTTTTAGTTAATGTATTTTCACTTTTGAAAGTATTTTTTATAAGTCATTGAGATTGAATGTGCTACTTTTATTTCTTTATCATTCATTAGTAGCCCAAATTTAATAATTTAAAATAAATTTAATAAATTAATAATAATTAATATTTTAGTTTGTGTAATGTACAAGTTACACATTTATTATATATAACTAAAATTTATAATAAGTTATACATGTAAATAAATATTATATTTTTAAATATATAAATTATATTTAAAATTTAAGATAAATAA